GCTGTGTATCTGCGGAGTGATCCTCAGCCACTAAGTTCTTGGATTGCGACGCAGCCATTCCACCACCATCCCTCACCCATCTCCCCCTCCCACACACACACACACCACGACCACCCTCATCCACACCCTTGCTGTGCAGTGTGGCGCCGGCACGCCTGCGCCAGATCTGCGATCACGTGTTGGGCCAGCTTGGATCGCACAGTCCAGAGTGCCTCCCAATCGTCATCAAGTTTCGCATGCAGCAAGGTGGTGGCGGTACTGTTGAGGGCGGCGAGGAGTGGAAGATGATGCCATAGTGTGTGACTGTGTGATTGCGATCTCACACGCGCCCGCCTGCACGTGTCGCTGTGGCTTGTTCTCTCGCAGCCGATCCCTCACATGCCTTCACACACACACACACACGCACACATGCACGTTGACATTCAGCGGATGGAATGGACGTGAATCTGCTGACAGCGAACATGATCGCTGACTCCTCCACCATGCACACGGCCAGCACCAACAACGGGGTGATGATGACGATGTGTTTGTCTGTGGTGGCTGCCATCAAGAACGGGCTGGCATTTGATGCGCGCAGTGCAAAAGCGTGGCTGCGGCCAACTCAAGACGACAGTGGCCCAGCCGATCACCGCCCTCGACCTGCTTGTGCTGCTGCTTCACCACCAGAACGCCCACCGCCGCAGCGCAGAGACCACCGTGATCAAGCTTGCAAGCACGGGCCGGCTCACCACCGCCATGGCTGTTGCCATGTTTGCCAGACACACGCGCGCGTTCTTGATGTGCTTCAAGTCGATTGTGCACATGGCGGACATCCTGAACCGGCAGCAGGAGGCCGCGTACCGCCACCTCGCCTCCACGGCCGGAGGTGGTTCGAGCACTGGTAGCGCACATTGGCACGGGGCAGGCACAGGAGGTGGACGCAGCCATGCCTGTGCTGCTACTGTCGCTGGCCACAGACCACCCGAAGCTGCTGCACCCATTTGCGCTCATGCTGAACGGCATCCTGGACTGCCTGAGCAACCTGCACTTCATCCACATCTGGCAGCTCTTCCGTGTCCTGACCACGCTCACGTTTGACCGCCAGCGCATCCCCGCCGCAGGCCTCATTGACCACGAGAAGGAGGATGGTGTGTGAGATTGTGTGTGTGTGTGTGTGTGTGTGTGTGTGTGTGTGTGTGTGAGTGAGTGTGTGTGTGCATGAACTTGTGCGTTGGGGAAGGCGTGTTGGATAACATAATGTCCTTCCATGCAGAATGTCTCTCGCCCTTCACACACACCACCACCACCACCAC